TCTATGGCAGTTCCCCGACCTTGGTCCTCTTTCCACAACCCCTCCCCCTGCTTCCCTTCCCTCTCCTTTCCCTCCTTCCCGCGTTCCTCTTCTAATCGCATTTGTACCGGCTCATCTTATGCATTGGAATGTAACACAATTGGAATGTTACATACCTAGAAATCAAAGTTCCGAAATGACCAAGTAACTCAGCCAATCTTTGATTTTATGGAGCATTGGACCTCTACCACAAAGTCTTTCTACAATAACCCAAATAGAACAAAAACTTTGGATTTTTACATTTTATGTGATGACAAATATCATTCGACAGTCTCATAGGTCAGAATTAACTTAAGAGCCTTTCAAAGTCTTGAGCTACACTCAGAAACTGCATATTGAATAGCCATTTTGGAGAGCCCTCGTTGGTATCTCGGCACGATCATTAGAGATAATGTTCATAAGGGTAGTGCTGATCACCTCATGACATCCTTTCAAAGGGAAAAAAAGCTATCCAGATAACATTGTTTGACCCCATTTTTTGAGGGGGGCGGGATTTTATTTTTGAACAGAACACTATCGCAAGAGATTAGATTTTTGCGATCAGAACTGCAGAGATTTTCCCCCTACGCACAAACACAAATTCACGGGGCGCGTTCTTTTTGTTATGGGTTAGGGAAGAACGGCTTTGAAATACACTTATTGAACACACAGAGTTGTACGCAATTACGGAAAAACCCCACAACCAGATTCTGCTTTCAACGCTGTTTTTATGCTTAGTTCACGTGTGTTTGTGTGCGCTAGTTGTTCTGACTGGCAGCAGCACTTTGGTGAACTTTTCTAAAGTGGAATTTCGTTTGAGAAACCTTGAGACGAGACTCGCTTAGTGCAATGTCGCGCATCAACTACAGTTCAGTGGTGATGGAAAAAGTGGAAGGGTTGCCCACCTTACTGCAGAACGTGCAACGTTCTTTTTTCACGTTTATCTGGCGTCGAGCAGCCGGTTCGGCGAGGTCACCATCATCGACGACGATCAGCTAAGAAAACGGTGATGGAGATGGCATTAAGGTTAATGAGTGATGGGAAAAAGTTGAAGAAATAGTGTAAATAGGAGGGAAGGATGTAATCACTTGTTCGCTTTCATCCTCTGTACGTGGGTTTTTCTTCGGTGGTGCATCTTCCGGAGAAAGACGCCTTCGAATTGCAGAAGCGGGACGTACTGGATTCGGTGTGAAGGCCGATGGCTCGTCACTGAAAAGAAATCAAATATTTTGGCAACAATCTCGCCTTCTTCCAACTTTTTCACTTCAAACCCGTTGCATTGAATCGTCATGCCTCTACAATTTTTTTGTACTTCTGTAAAGCAGAAATAAATTCAAAGGTCAAGCAGAAACAGGAAGTGGAGGAAAATTGTTGTAATCGGATCAAGCCAACAAACACTCGACATTCACTGCCACTACAACTGGTACTTCATCAAAAAATAGCCAATAGAGAAGGCTTTAGAACCAGCCCACAAGGTTGGATTCTTTTCGCAATGGCACGCAGACACCTGCAGAAGATTCTATGGAAGATGAAACAGAAAAGATGGCTTTTATTTAATTAGCAGAAGAAAATGAAATTATGTGGATAAAGAAGAGGGTTAAGTTCAAGTTTTGAAAGTAAAATGTTGCATAATCTCCGTTTCAATTGATAAAAGGCAAGGTCAGTCGTAAGGCATAAATAAGAACAGTACTATTCAAAGACTATGGCAAATGACTGATTCGAACTAGTTTCCCAACATCTTTTTATGACCGCATAATTTGGAAAATGATCACAAGGGGTTAGTTACGAGGCCTATTTTATTTGAAAGGGAAGAAAATATTTGAATAGAGTCGGAAAAGCTTGCCATTTCGAGTCATCCATAAAAAGCAACAAGTCTTGATAATCATTGCCATAAATTATTTGAATAGGTAGCTACTACAAGCTATTACCCTTCCAAATATATCTATCTTCGCTTGGTTTTCACAGCTCTGCCCTCTCTCTAGAAACTCTCCTTACCACAGCCCATTAGCAGAATATCGTAAGAAACATGTGCTTTTTGAAGAAACTCCTGACTTCCAATCCAAACACGTAATTGTTTTTTGAAACTATACAAAGTTTGAAGTAATAAATTACCAGATAAGAGGATGTGTTCTTGCTAGGAAAGGAGGTGCGCATTCTATTTTCAGGAACTAATAATAACATATTTTATTGTATTTAAGGGTTGCTCACTCTGGCCTACTTATAAAATATTGCTAGGGGGGATGTGATAGAGCATACGGTTAATTGCAGAAGCAAAAAAAGTCCTCTCACCCCTCATCTGTAAAACATCTAAGCTTAACCGTTAATTTCCTCCCCTTAACTGAGGTGATACACAAATTCCAGCAGAAATTTCTAGTCTTTAAATCATAAATGCAACTAGTTGTATCACAAATGTACTACATAGAACTAAGTACTTTCTTGACATTCTTTTCGGTGGCCTTCATCGTTGCAGGATGATCATGCTAATTAAAGGTATGAATTTGTTAGAAAACAAGACTGAAAACTCACTTTTTCTGTAATCCAGCAAAAAGTCCCGGAGACGGTGTAGGTACTGCTGCTCCCAGCCCTAATAGTGCTGCTGTAGCACTGTTGTTCAGCTGTGATAAGTTGGGATACTGGGACATTTGGGTATAGTAGTCCTGCATCGCTGATAGGACAGAGGGCTGCATCCACATATTCTGAACATTAATTAAGGGTTAAGTCATAGGTACCTGTTAGAAAAAGAGATCTACCTGAAGGGATGACGTTGGCGGTTGATGCTGATGTTGCATAGCCATAGCCATTTGGGACACGAGGCTGTTCCTTGGTGGCGCTATCCCTGTGGTAGCCGTGAATGCACTGACCACATGCTCATCATCAGTCTCGTCGGGTGGCAATGATCTGAAAGAATATCTGACCTAGCGCTATGTTTTTGCATGGTTCGCTCTAAGATTTCCCCTCCAAATACCTCTTTTGATTCTTTTCCTGTGATCCACCGGGATTATTCTCCTGCTCACCAGCCTTCTCAGCGATTTCCTTCAATCGTTCTGAACAGAACGCATTCAGCGAGAATGCGCTCTTCGCTGATGGTTGTAGGCCTTTATTTAGCACTGCAATATAGGGATTTGCTAAGATTTCATGAAAAATTTCACCTCCCTCGATACAGTTCATTGTCATTGTCACGTAGTCCACACAAATCTAGCAGCTGGTGCGAAACACGACTAAAAATTCGCATTACCATTCTTATCATCTCTGTATACTGAGGAGAGCATGATGGTCGACTCGGCCGATGTCACCGGCGAGCTGTTCGACGTACATGAAACGTCGCCCTCATCAGGGAGATCTTCCTTGAACCCAATAGCAATTAGAACGTAATTTTAAAAAATCGTTTTCAGCGAATTTATTTTACTTGGCAGATTCGGAGGCCATGGGCTGTGTAGCAATGCTTCAACAAGTCCCAGATGTCGCTGTATCGCTGCTTGCAGGAGTGACACGTTACACTTTTGGTAAGCGAATCTGAAAATCAATGGAATTAGAACGTCCTTTCCTTGTCTAATGAGGACACTTCCCCTCTATTGCACGACTAACTGCATCAGAGAGCTTCTACTTCACTTAAATTCCTAAGTAGATGGATGTTCAAAAACCAGGGAGTCCGGAAATTTTTTTTCAAACATTAGTAAATAACAAGCTATTATCTTCTGAACAAGAAATCTTCATACAGTTCGCCTATTCAAACTTTGGCCTTCAACTCCCCAAAGCTTATGCC